ATGTACTTTCTCAGGGATGAAAGAAATTTTTGGAAAAAGCGATGCATATCTTTGTTCGCCTCTAAATGCTGATTTGAATGGCGTGACGATCGGAGAAAACTTTCAAAACCAGGGAGGAGGTAGGTTTGCGAGAGAGGCAGCTCATTTTGCCCACTCTTGTCAAAATTGTGTAACACAGGTATTTTGTTTTTTGCCATTGCTAGAGATCGGGTATATGATTTATTTTATTTTTTTTCCCATCAAATTCAGAATCTCCATGTAAAATTAGCTCATAGTAGCAAGTTTCAACATTTTCTGATGTATCTTAGGCAAGATATGGCGAAAGACCGACCGCAATTATCACTTGGCTAATGCTGAACTTCGTTGTCAAAAATTTCAACAACTATTAAGAGGACTGAAAAACGGTTAATGCCCGATTGTAGAGCACGTTTACCACTACAAAGCTACTGATCTGAATTTGTCACCAAGTAACCGTTTATAGTCAACAGTTGGTTTATATAGCAATTGATAGCTTATAAAGAGAGGAGTTGATTGCATATATTGCTGTTATTTAAAAGTGGATAGTGTAAGAAAAAAAGCTTTACCATTTTACCACCAATTTCGGTAAAAGGGCATATTTTGTCAATTATTCAAAAAATAGAATATAGGCTCTGAGAATTTTTCTGATTAAGCAGTTATAAAGAGCATGACTTAAAGTATACGAATATTTATTGGTAGAGAACAATGATTTTCAAGTTGACCTAAATCGGAGGTATGTGCCACCTCCGCCGCACAAGGTATAACGTTTTCGGAAAAGCAAATATATTTCAATAGTCACGAAGGATAGTTGAATAAACGCTGAAAGTTTGATCGAATTTGAAGAATATTTTACATATAGTGGGGGGTTTCCCATGGAATCACCCTGTTTTAAAATTTCTTTTTCCAAAATGATCCGTGAAGTGTCCTAAATACGATTATTTTATTGAAAATTTTATATTCTACAGAGTTTCTCAAAAGTAAAATTTATCTGTAATCAGCTTGTGGAAATCCTCCAGTTTTCTGGAAACCTCACTAGAGAGAGCTAGGGATATAATTTTTTGATATGCCTCAAAAAGAGCATGCTTTCAAACTCTTATACTCCAGATAACTAAATTGGAGCAGTCGTTGTCTTTTTAGCTTCGACCAACTTTCTCATGTATCAAGTCTCTTGTCATGAAGATAAGATGGAGAATTCTGTCTCTTTTTATTACAAATAAGTACACATACAAGCATGTATAAAATAGTAAAGTGAAAAAAATAGTGATTTTGATCTCAACTAACATTTGCTTTTAATGGATTTTGTACCTCTTTTAGACCAATAACCTTTGCCGTTGCCTTTTCCGGCAAACTTCTCAAATCTCTTCGACAATTTGGACATCGTTTTTGTTGTTCGAAGGCTCGTTTTAAACAGTCATAGTGAAAAATATGACCGCATTTTGTGATGCAAGCTCTGGGGTCCTGATCGACTACTTCGATAATTAAATCAAGACATATTGAACATGCTTCATAGTAGATCGTAACTGGAATGCTTTTTTTTAAACCAGCAGCCAATTTGTATAATTTGCTTAATTCATTTGGTTTTTGAAAAAGTTTTTCGATACAATAACCAAGCAGTGCTGTAAATTTTGCCCAGTAATACTCAACCCAATTTTTATCTAGTTCGAGAATTTGATTATCAGTGCCATCAATTTGTGCTAGCATTTGTTTCATAAATGCACTTCGCTGTCTGTGCTGTTCTCCTTCGAGCCATTCAATCACTTGTGGCGGCGGCGGTGGATCATTTTTATTGGTCGATGTATACTTCTTACTTGTATCTAAATCACCAAATATAACATTTTTAACTTTTCCCAAGATATTAACGATTTTTTGATGTTCTTTATTAGCTTTGATGCATTTTTCAAGGGTCATATTTTTTTCGGTACAATGGGTGAAAACAATAGTACAACGTGTGAATGCTTTTTCACCTAATAATTGTTCCAGTGTTTGAATATAAACAAATATATCTTCGCTTATTTGTTCATAACGAAGAAATAAAAATAGCCAATTAAAACCAATTGACGAATAACAAATTAGTTCACGAAAAATAACACAAACTGATGTAAGTCTTGCTGAAACCTTACATCACCATAACCAATGGTGTCAACATAAACAATTTTGTTTCCTTGATCGACATAATTAGATATTGACGAGCTCGTTCCAATGATTCTACCATCAGCGGCAACTGCTGATGGTGCTAGAAGATCCTTATGAGCAACACTACGATTATAACAACCATTAAGCGTTTCTGATTTACCTAAAATAGGAAGTTTTACATATTTTGAAATGGAACCCTTACGTTCTGTACGTTTCTATGTTTAAAAAATAAAAGGAAAATACAAAACGCCCTTCGCAGGCGTCATATTGGGAAAGTAGGATTTAGTATTTGCAGTTTATTATTTAAACAAAGAGATGTACAGAGTCTCGACACGTCCCATTTTGTAGCGAAACGTTTGCTTTACAATTCTAGATGTTCCACAGCACTGTACAGGCGTTCACTGAAAGAATATGAACACAGCAAAATGTCAAAAGTTCGTCACTGAATTTCACTCCGGTAGCAGAGTTATCTGGCCGTGCCGTGCTTTAGGTGCTTTGATGTGTAGGAGACCCAGGTGAAACTCATCTTACAAGATCATACAAGATCTGTCGTTGTCCTATGAAATCTTGTGACAGGATTTTATTGCATGATCTTCTGAGATTCTACCAAAATCATAGATGATCTTGCGGAATCTTGTAACTTCTTGTCGTACGATCTTACGAGATTAGTTCATCAGATGTGGCAAGACCTTGCGACAGGAAATTGTATGGTTCTTTTTTGCAAGATTTTGTCCCTAAGACTATTTACTTATATTTACTATGCGTTCCAAAATACAAGACAGTCAGCCACTTTTTGAATAACTTTTGATAGGAACGAGATAGAGACCTGCGATTTTAGCTGAAGAATTAGAAAAATTAGCGGAATCTAGGCTTCTATAAAATTTCTAAATAGACGTAAAAAATTCTTTTCCTTTTTCCTTACGAAATGCAAGT